CTGCAAATCAAATCCCTTTCAACTGCCATTATTTACCAATTCAATAACTCATCCATTTACAAGAACATCTCTTTAATCTGAATTTACCAACTACAATCAAACAATGTTCTTGTTATATCCCTCTAAATTATTAGCCACATTCTTTCAATAAAAATTCACATAGAAACCTAATTGGTGCCTCCCTTTCCCTTATTAAATCTTCATCCTTAAAACTTTCCCTTAATGTTTCCTCTCTTCTCACGAATACTATTATCAGAGGCACTCAACCTATCACAAAAATCCTTTTTAGTAGTTTACTGAAACGATATAACAAGATTTTCACTAACCATAATTTATATTTTCTAGATCAACTAATCTCTTCCTTAGGTTGTCATTTAATAACTACTTCTGATTTCCTTCTCAGGGATTTTGACCACCAATCAAAAAGATTTGGTTTATCTGATTTTTTCTATAGATTAGACAACATTGTTTTAGAAAATCACGTACATAGATTGATCAAACCGGAATTCAGACTAGCTTCCCCTTACCGTGTTACAAAACTATTTCTTAAGTGCCTACTTTAAGTAGCCAAACAAAAGAAATAGTATCAACCTGGAACACAACGCTTAACAGTCTGACCTTCAGAAAAATTATAGCTGATGTCTTAAACAGTAATCATCTCATCTGTTACTATTTCACCCACAACATCAACCATAATAATGTTTTTCAGCTTATTAAATGCTCCAGTTGTCCTCTTAGCAGACAGACTGTTTCATCTGAGTGATGCATCATTAATATCCTTAATGCCCTGGCCTACTTAGTTCAGACCATTCCTAAGCAATCACATACAGTCAAGAATCAACTTAAACAATCATTTAGGAAAATCTCTCATATCACCAATATGATCTTTCACAAATCATATAATGAACCTTCTCCAACAATTCCATTCACTGATAACATCATTGACCTCCTTATTCAACTATCGATGCACTTACCTAGGCTTAAACAATTGCAATCAACCTTTACTGATGCAATAGCCTTAACATTTTACACTGATGGCTCCTTAATAGGACCCCGGATGGACAACTGTAAAATAGGATTCAGTTGGATTTGCTTACACCCTAACAACGGTCCATTTACCTTCAAAGCCTCACTCACAAATTGGCTCTCTTTCACGTAAGTTGAAATGTATGCTCTCCTCACTGCCCTCATAATATCCCCAAACAACGCAGTGGTGGACGTCTATCTAGATAGTCAGGCAACAATTCATGGTTTCAACAAATATGTGCTCTCCAATCATCTTTCTCTGAGAAAGCTTGAAAAAGTTCCCAATTATATGATCTGAAGTATTATCTGATATATCACTGATCACCTCAACCTCCAAGTATCACTCCACAAAATCAAAGCATACGCTAGAAATTATTACAACGAAATAGCAGATAGATTAGCTAAAGATTGATGCAATACACCTCCTCTATCTTTGCTACTTAATAACGTCACTTCATCAGATCTCTCATTTTGCTTTAATAATATTCCTATTGAGGTCTCTATTAGAGGTTTTCTCAAGCAACTCTTTGCAGCACAAGCTTTTGACAACTTTCTAGATTTGAATAGAAATGATAAACTCAGAGTACTCACGGTCAACAAACCTATCAATTGGTTCACCATCTGGAACCTTTTTTCGATGAACACCTCTTCCCTTTTCACATCCTTTGCTTCATATAAGCTCAAATCATTCATAATTAAAAACTTCATTGACGAACTTCCTTCACTGTCACGCCTTACATTATTATGATCTGATTTATATGAACACTGGCCTTGTGTGGGTTATAGCGTTGCTACTGAAACCACTTTTCATATTTGGACATGTCTATCGTACTCTTCGTTAATTATGGACATGATCGCGGCTACTAAAAATGATCTCATTGATCAACTAAGCTCTTCATACAGAGCCAGATACACAGCGCACCAAACTGCACTAGAGGATGTACTCAACAACACATTTGCATCACCTTCAAACGTTTCTAATGGCTACACAAATATCATTCAATCCAGAATTCCGTCCTCCCTGATAGATATTGTTCATAAAATAGCTGGCAATAAAGGGCGATGCCTCTCCATCATTTCACGCTCGCTACTCCTCTTCCATCAAACGCTATACGATGACGTCTGGAAATACCGTTGCAACTTATTAATCGCTAAAGAGCGTTCAATGAGCATTACTAAACAAGACAAGCGTAAACGAAGTGCCAGTTCACCTCTGCCTCACAGATAGACATCAAGCTCCTCTTTTAACTGGGAGACTTGGATACACCTTGCGAACAAATTTGGCTACGCGTTCTCAGATTTTTAGATAGGCACTGACGTCTTCTTTATCTTTCCTTGTTGATGTTAATTTTCATTAAGTATACACTTAGTGGAGTTAATGGAAGGGAAAGACGATGATAGGTCGATTTAAACGGGTTTGTAATATAACTACGGGGAATAGCTAGTACTTAGTATAGATTTATTTTCGATTTACTTTGTATTTCCTTATATATAAATTTAATAAAGTTACTGGCAGTGTCACATCGTTAAAAAAAAAAAAAATAAACTCTGAATTATATAAAATAGAGAATTAAAATAAATATATCAGAGAAGAAAAAAAATTACTTTACCTTGATTAATGTTTATTTAATATCATAATAATCTGATAAACTATCTTTAATAAATATAATATTTTTATTTGTAAGACTTTTATGAACTAGTTTGAGTATATTTATATTAATTTTATTATATATTTTAGATAAAACTTGAAGAATCTTTAATAATTAAATTCATAAGTTTTATTAGATCTTCTATTAAATCTTTTAAGAGTTTAGCAAAGTTATTACATTATGTTTAATTATTATTTTAAATAAATGATTTATAATATTTTTAATAAAAACTTTACAAGTAGAGTAATTAAATAAGTTTTTAAAATATTATAATTTTAATTAGTCAGTTTAAAAATAGAATAAATATGAGCAATCTTTTATTTTGAAAAGATATTATCAATCTTAAAATACATCTTTATTAAATTTTAAAGTAAGTTTTATATTAATAGATCTAAATGTTTGATTACTTTATTATGAGTTCTGATAACTTTATTACTTTATCATTGATAAGCTGAGTAATAGTTAACTAATTTTTAAAGTTAATAATTACATTAAATTAACATATAATAAGGTTATTATATCATCTTTAGATTAAAATTGAATTAGTTATTAATTAAATAAAGAAGTAGTAGAAGTATTGAAAATGTATAATTTTGAAAATATTTGTTGATATATTATTTTATTATATTTAAATCATTAATTAAGATTTATTAACTATTATTATTGTTGATAAGAAGATGATTAAGTGTAATTATTCTTTTAGATTTTTTTAAGTAGATTAAATTATTTTTCTAAAATAGTTTTATAATAAAGATAATGCTAATGAATATAATATTTAATTGATTATTTGTTAATTTGTTTTTCTTTAATTCTAATAAAGGCTTTAATATTATAATATAATTTGAATATAAGTTTTTAATATTGTTAATATTATTTATATCAACAAATTAGTTAAGATAATAGCTGAAACCTTAGCTTTTACTAAAACTTTTATAATAGTTATATAATCATTTTTTTATTTAATATCAATAAATTATATTTTAGATCTAATTTTTGGTAGTCTAAATTTTAAAACTATTTTGTTGATAAACTTCAAACAATCATAATAAATAACTAAATTTTAATTAAAAAATAATTTTAAAATTAAAAATTTTAATTAATTTTAAAAAATAAAATATTAAATTTAAAATTAAGTTATATTATCAACTTCTCAAATAAATTATTAATTATTAAAATAATTTTTATTTTAAATAATAAATAAAATTATTTTTAATTTTTATTAAATAAATAATAATATTATTAAAAGATTTAATTAATAATAGATAAATAAATTAATTTAAATCCTTTAAGATTATCAAAATTTTACTATCCTAGTTGAAATTCTTTTTGTAATTTTTATATAATCATATTATATGATATCTAAAAATAAAATTATAATAATATCAATAATTTCTAAGTCTTTTTAATTATATTATAACATTATATACTATGACAAATTATTAACTTTTCTAATTTTTTTTTAATAATATACACTATCTAATAATTTTTTTTTAAATTTCACTAATAAATTGACTGATAATATTAATAAATGATTAATTATTAAAAATAAATATATATATACTAAATAATTTAAATATACTTAACATTTAATCAAAATATTATTTTTAATTAATATTAAAAAAATAAAGTAAAAATAATTCTATTTACATATAGCAACACATTTATTTAAAAACTATTATCAAAAGTATGTTTAAAAAATTGGCAGGTATTAATACCAAATATATTTTTTTTTGTATATTTAATTTAAAAATTCGTAATTAATAACAGACATATTATATTTATACTAACATTTATCTTTAAACTAGATAATAAACTTTTTTTGATAATTTTTTAGACATTCAAAAAGTTTTTTTTTCATTTAAATTATGAAACAATTTAATAAACGTTTTATGCATTTATTTATAAAAAACTTATTTCTTTATTTACAAATACTTTTTTCATCAATTACTTTATTATATTACTTTTAAAAAATATATAAAAAACATCTTTCTTTTTTAAAATAAAATTCGATTTGTTACCTAATGTAACTCTTAAATAGAATTTTTATCAACATAGAATTAAATTTTGTTACAGAAAATAAAAAGATAATAACCTTTTTATTTCTTTACTTGATTATCGAAACTCAGTTATGGACTGTATCGATGGTTTTTTGAATTGCCATCAACAACATTGTGAGAAGGCTTTTGGGGGAATATGATGTATCCCTCCCGGATCATTTCTTTTCGAATCTTTTGGAGAGGTGTGAGTTTTTGGTATCCTGTTATATGTGTGAATAAAATTCATATCAGAAAGATTTTTAAAATTATTTTAAAAACGTATAATTACCCGAAGTTTTCCTTTTCGGTTCACGAGGAGCGACAGAAAGCATCTTTACTTGACGCGCCTCTTTTTTAGCTTTCTCTTCAGCCATTGCTTTTTTCAGTTTACCAATAATGCGTTCCTTCTTTTCCTTTTCTTCATCGATAATATCCTATTAATAAACAAAGGATTTTAATTATAATCAAGTAAAATAATAAGAATAATAATAAATTTTTACCAAATATATCTTTCGATAAATCTTGGGATCACTCGGTAACTGTCGTCCCGGAAGCTTTTGCTGTAAGAAACGTTTCCAAAGTTCTAAATTAGATAACAAAATAACAAATTTATAAGTTTCATATACGGTATAATAATCACAATATGAAAATTCAAAAAGTCATACCCATATCCTCATCGATAAGACGCTATTTAAAACAAATTTGTTACTTACTAGTAAAATATTAAAAAGAATAAAATTAATTTAAATAGCTTACAGGATTCACTTCTTCCAATTGACGCAATTCTTCATCGGTACAGAACTTTAAAATTGATTCAAGTAAATGGTATGGCGTATTTCCCAAATGATAAAGCCCTAATAAAAGACATAATTTTTGAATATATCACTTAAATTATTTATTGTTAAAAAAAAAAATTATGATTATACTAACGATGTTTATTTGAAACTAATGTCATGGTGCATAGTTGTACTAATGACTTGACCCCACTATTCTTTGAACCTAATGAAGCGATACTGTGCATATGATTATTATTGTAAATTCGTGGAACTGGCATGCTTGGCAAATTTACTTTCATAGAAGACTCTCTTTGTATTCGGGTTGTTGGAACAATAAGTTTAATAAATTTATCGTTATTAATTTCCCCATCTTCAGAATATTTGCGTTTATTAAGAACTTTTGTCAAGGGTTGATTATAACCTGTAAAAGCAACCGTTGTTGCTACATTTTCATTCGCTCGGCGAAAAGACTGAGTTTGTATTTTGTTTGTAGATTCTAATGATAATAAAGTCTCTTTATTACTAGGATCGACTGTTTTTCCTTTCCAAGATGTAACAACTCTATTCACTTGATCTGTTGATCGAATAGATGTTTCTTTCATCTTTGACTGAATAGAAGATGTTTGTGAAACTGAACTATCGAGTACTTCAGATGGTACTTTGAACGAGGATTGTGATGTATTAGTATTTTCATTAATCTGGGATTTTTTACGGTTGTTTAAATTTTCCCAAAATGTTTGTACAGCCTTTTTTGATTTTTCTTCACGTTCTCTCATATTTTTTGTCTTATAAAATTTGAGAGGTTCTTTATTTTTAGCATATTGGACATGAGTATGATCCATTGTATCCATTGCTATCGTTAATGGAAAAACATCTGTTGAATGACTAAAGTCTGGAAATGAAACTTTGGCCGAAGTTTGAGAAGGCAACGTTCTATTTTTGGTATTCTGCGATAATTTTGTTTTTTGTGTTGTAATTGTTCTTGTTGATTGAACCGAAGTTGATTGTATCATAGTCGAATTGATAAATTCTTTATTACTTTGGACTACTGGAGCAACTGTTTGTGAAGTCGATGTTGTTCCTGCTGATTGGATGGGAGTGAGCTGCGCTGGTGGTGGTGTCGAGATAGAACGTTGTTTGTTTTTGGATCTGTTGTTTAGATTTTCCAAAAATTTTTGCACAATCCTTTTTGATTTTTCTTCATGTTCTCTCATGTCTTTTGTTTTATAATATTTGACAGGTCCTTTGTATTTAAAATGTTTAAGGACGCAACCTTGATCATGGATTTTAACAGATTGCGATATTTTTAAAGAAAAGGTTGATATAGTTCTCTCCTATTGGTCCTTTAGAAGAATTTGTTTCATATTTAGCATATTAGGATATTTGTTTTAAAAATGTAGGTAATAACAAAAAAGTTAAATAGGGACATGAGAGTGGAAGAAAAAAATTACTCTTGCTAAACACGTTTAATTGTATGTAGATTATCAAGCAACGTTTGATAACAAAAAAAACATCATGTTTATAACGTTATACCATAAAATGTATAACAGGTGTGTTTTATTAATTTGAGAAATTAAAGAATAATTTCACAACAGCTAGGCATTAATTAGCTCTTTAAAATAAAACTTCTTTTAAAAGTTCTACGTGTTCCAGTACTAATACTTTAAATTTTCAACAGGAAAACTATTTTATAACTTACCAAAGACAAAGTTGATTATTGGTAACACACTTTAGAAATTTGAAGGATTTTTGAGAAAGAGGCTGTTTTGGGTGTGAGTTGATTCTTTCAATAAAATTTGCTCTTATTTGGTATGCAAACATGTTGCACATTGATCATTGTAGCGCAGTTTATGTAACATTTAATATGATATATATCAAAAAAGTAAAATTCTATAAGTAATAGTAATTTGTATTTTGTAATTTAAGCTAGATTATAAAATTATAATCTTATAAATATTAAAATTTAAAAAGTTCAAATAATAAAATAATAAAAATAATTAATAACTAACTATAAATACAATATGGAAAGGTTACTAGAAAATCAGTTTATGGGAATTTTTTAACAAAATTTTGATTTTTATTGCATATTAGTTTTTGAAATCATTGGAATAAAATGTAATAAAATATTATTTTAGTTAAAAAATTCTCAAAATCTATTTCTTAGCAATCTTTTCAAATATACTACAGTTTTAATAAAAATTCTAAATTATTTTTTCTAAAATTTAATATAATACTATTAATTTTATTAATTCTTTATAATTTAATTATTTTAATCTTTATATTTATTAAATTTTGAAAATAATATTCAAGTTCTTATAATAAATAAATTTAAATTTTTATTATAATAATTATGATTTTTTAAAAAAAATTTATTATAAAAAGTTTTTAAGAGTATTTTTTATTTTATTTTTATATTATAAATATTAAAAATTAACTTAAAAATTATTATATATTTTGAAATTAAAAAATTTATATCAACTATAAAATTAAAGATAATTTTGAAAAATTAATAAATTATTATAATATTTTGATTCTTCTAATTTTAATTTATAAATAGCTAGATTTGTTTATTTTTTTTTGATTTTTTTGATTATTTTTAATTTTATATATATTTTATAGAAAAATTTTATTTATATATAAAGTATTTAAATACTATATAATAGTATATTACTTTTTAATATATTATATACAAAAGAATGATATACTATTTAAACTAAAGTTATAGTATTTCATTATAACTTAGATAAAATATAAAATCGCAGATATTATGTTATAACTTAAGTAAATTATGAAATTATAGGAATTATAATATAATTTAAATAGATTATAAAGTTTTAAGATACTACTCTATAGTTTAATATGTATAATCTATTTTTATAACCTACTTGATTTTCTTTGTATATTAGTATAATATTTTATTGATTATTTCTTTTATACTCTGATTATATCTTTAGATCTTTTTTTACTATTTGTATTTTTACATTATTACTACTTTTATAATAAATTACTACATCATTCTTTAATCTATCTATATTATTTTTCTTATTTATCAAATCCTTTTAAATTTTTTTTATAATCTTTATTTATTAATTATTTAATTTGATTTTAATTTATTTTTGTAATTCTTATTATCTTATTTTAAATTTATTTTTGTGATCTTTTTGTAAATAATACTCTTTATTTTTTTAAAATGCTGAAATTTTTAAACTGAACTTTTTTTTTACAATATAAATTATTTATTATAGTTTAATCTAATTATCACAGTATATCTTAATATTTATATTATCATGTTTATAATTATAATTAAGTTTATTAAAGAATATAATTTCATCTTAAAAATAAACTTTAAAATACTTAATTAATAAATATTAAAAATACTTAAACTCTTGATAGATAAAAAAAAATGAAGATAGATGTATAATCATCTTTATAATGGATTTAATTTTAGCAAAAAATAGATATTTCTATTAGATTTTTTTCAAAAATCTAGTTCAAGTAAAGGTCAATAACCTTTATTATATAAGGATAAAAAATGAGAAAAATGAATATATATAAAATAATTGATTATTTTGTTAGAAGAAAGTATTAGAAATTAGCTCAATATATTATTTAGAATAATTTTAATAAAAAAATAAAAGCTAAAGCTAAAGCTTTAGTTAAAATATTGTTATTAACTTATCATATTGATTTTAAAGAAAATTAAAAAACTGTAATATCTAAAAAAAAAATTTTAGTTATATTAGATCCTAACATAATCTATTTATCTATTAAATCTAAAAAGAATATTACAAGTAATGCAAAAATTAAGAGATTGATTATTTAGATTACTTCTCCCTGATAAAACATTTAATAAAAAATTTCATAAAAATATTAAATTTTAAAACATATAATTTTTATAGAATTTTAATATAATATATATTTTTTTTCTTAAATAAAACCTTAAAATTTAATATAGAAAAATGAGAAAAAACATATATGAATAAAAATATATTTTATAATTTTTTAATAGATGTAAAAATTAAATGTATATTTTATAATTCTTTAATGAATATAAAAATTACAGATAAAAAATATATTTATAATTCTTTAATAAATATAATAAATATAGATAAAAATATATTTTATAATTCTTTAATAGATACAAAAATCATAAATAAACATATATTTTTAATTCTTTAATAGATATAAAAATTACAGTATATTTATAATTCTTTAACAGATTTAACAGATGAATAATATAATTATTAAGTAATTTAAATTTTATTAATGTAATAAAAAAATTAAAAAAATAAAAATTAAAAAAATTTTAAAAAATCATTATTTTTTTAATTTCTATTTTCTTGTTCTTATATTTTTTTGCAATATTTTTTTAATATAAATTAATTAAAGAAATTTCTAAGTTTAGCACAGGGTGTATGTACCTGTATCATGTGACATTATAAAAAGATGAATCTGAAAATGAAAATATAATAGATAAAGTTGTAATTGATCTAATTACGGCAAATACTAGAATGGTACAAATTTTCAATAGCAAAATTAAAACGCGGCACTGCGTCACACATAGCCATTATAATGATTGCTTTCTCAAATTCACGAAACTCTAACAAAAGTAGCCATTTCGGATAAATCATACCAATAAACCACTAATTTATCATAAGTAATAACGATAACTAAAATTTTTTAATAAATATTATTTTTTTTTTAAAAAAAAAAAGGAAAAGAAGGAAAAGTATGTATTAAGCAAACTAACTTAATTTATTTACCTTCAGAATCGATTTCATCAGGATTTCTAAAACCTTCAAAAGCCACTTTAGTTTTAGCACGATAAGAGACTTTACCATTCCATTCTTTTTCATCACAAATTCTAACTTGATCTTTTAAGTTACATCTCCAACTAATTTCACCACGAGGAACCAGTAATTTTTGTAGCAATAAGATAACCACTAATATCATCTTCTCTAAATAATATAAAATTCTATCCCATGTGATCCTGTATAACAAGCTTTAATTATTTTTTTAAATTATAAAAATTTCAAAATTATTCTTTTTTAAGAATAACATACCATAATCACCAACCCAAATGTCATCAAATTTTTTCTTCTCTTTTTGACGATCATTGAGTGTCCAAAATTTAAAATATTTTTCATCTTCAAATAAAAAACAATTTTGATTTTCAATAGTACTTTATTGACCAAAAATCGTAGTATCAACTTCCTCTCTTCTGATATAAATCCTGTTTGCTCATTTCCATACTCGTCATCGTCATCTTGTTGTTTCCATAATACACTTTCATTATGTTTATCAAATGATGCTTTTCTAATTAACATTCATCATCATCATCATCATACAACATATTTTTTCCTCTTAGAACTTTGGATTTATGTTGTTTAAAATCATGTTGCACACTAAATAATATTTGATGTCTATATACAGGTTCAGTATAAATTATTCTTACTAATGAATTTTTTGACCAAGGAAAATTTCTTAAGGATTTATTACTTGCCGTTATTCTCCATGCTATTATACTTGATTTATATGGATCAAATTCAATATTTAATAAAGAAGCGTTTATAGGTTTATTTCCTGCCCAATACCCGATTAACCATCCATACTTGTACAATATCCCTGTATACTAAATTACAAGACAAAAAAAAATAAATTATTTTAAAGCAAATATAACGAAAATTTTATGATTAGCTATGAATATTACCATAGTAAGAAAATTGGGATAATTCCCGAGTTTATCAATACCAAATTCTTTGCAGAACTTTAACCAAAAAGAATCCAATTTACAAAATTCGTAAAAAAAATTTACACGTCTTTGACAGATTTGATAAAGATTTTGAATTTAGTAATAATAATATATCTATAAGAATTTCTCTTGGTATACTAACAATATTGTTGGTTTTCTTTGGTTTAGTCATTTTTATTTCTATAAAAAAGAAGTTAAGGTAGACAAGACGTTTATATAGTGATTGTTTATTGCGTCACATCGAGTCACATGATATAATTTTTTATTTTTGATTTATACATTTACAATACAAATAAACATATCAGTTCAACATGAAAATCCAACAAAGATAAAAGAAAATAAAAAAAGAAAATCTATGATGTATCACTCTTATTTGAACCATAATATTGAGCAGGATTAATAGTATATTGACCAGATTGTTGTTGATGCGGTGGCGGTTGTTGATAAGCATACTGACCAGGATGAGAAGGACCAAAAGGATCAGAAGTATTATTATATTGAGATTCTTGATATATTGAGGAAGGTCCATATTGTGGATAAATATTTGTTGGGTGTGGTGCTAAATAAGGAGCACCATATTGTTGTTGTGGTGGAATCAAATTAGGATGGGGAGGAATGGGAGGTCCTTGTTGATATTCATTACCATATTGTGGATGATACATTGGTGGAGGCGATAAAGGTGATATAGGTACTTCGCCATTGTTAGATTCATTATCTCCTACTACTGGTCCTACTGGTCCTCCAAATAATCTATTGCCACCATCATATTCACTGCTAGTTCTCTCCATATAGTTCATCGCTGTTTCACCATATGGTTGATTTTGATTATATCTATTTGACGGTATAACTTCATTATTTGAATGGCCATGTTGCGTGTTTGACCTAGATAAAGTATTATTACCTAAACTTGATACTGATGCCATACCAACGCTACCTCTCATGTTAACTAAATTACTTCCTCCGTTTGGACCACCGTGATCACCAGCAATCAATTTTGGATCATAAGGTTGCATTGAAATGTCAAATTGTTTTTGATATTTTTTTCTTCTATATAACACAAATCCAATCAATCCTAATATTGAAAGAGTAAAAAAACCTCCAATCGATATACCAATTATTATAGGTAAACTCATTCCATCCGTATCATTAGTTTCTTCAATTGAGTTAGGTGCATTCGCTGTGACAGGTGTTGATACTGTTGTTTGATCGGGTTCCGGACTATCCGGATCAATTTTAATTACGCCCCACATACCGTATGCACAATGTGAACTATATGAACAAAAATAATATATCATTCCCCTTGTTTGTGTTATGGTCATACTAAAAACTCCTTCTTCTTTTAATCCGGAATCAACTATATTTATTTTAAAAAATAAAAGAAAATTTTATTTATTATTTATTTAATTTGAAAAAGGTCAACAGTTCACGTTAATTTACTTACATGCATTTAAATTTCTTGATTTAATGCAATTTCCAGCTGGTCCATCTGATTGCACAATCTGATGTTTACCATATATATATTCCCATTGTATCTATTATAAAACTTCTTTAGTTTAATTGTCATGTTTAGAATCAGAATTTATGGGATGAAAAGACTTACAACATCATCTTGTTTTGCTGATACATTTTGTGGTGAAAATGACAATCCTCGTTCTCCAACTTTAATAACGATAGTTTCACAATTCGTAAAATTTACAAAACATATAAATATTATAAATATCCATATAGAAGGCTTCATATTACGAAAAATTTTTTTTAAAAATAAGAGATAATATATGTTTACATAAAAATTGGTATATTACATAAAGTTGATATATAAGTATTCTTAATTACGTACGTAAAAATTGTTCATTAAAAAATTATTTACTCAAAAAGAAACAGAAAAAAAAAATTTTTTTAAATTGAAAAATATC